TTTAAAAATCTGTGCTTCAGTTTGAACAACTTCTTTTGGACTGTCTTCAAGTTTACTGCCCTTTCCTCTGAAGTGTCCTAGCTGGTGTTATTCAAATCCAAGGCATTTTTATTTCAGGTATTGTGTTTTTTTGTGTTAAGATTTCTGGGTTTTGTTTTAGTCTCCATATATCTCTTGAAATTCACCCATCTTTTTCCTTTATATTTTTCACACAGTTATAATAATTATTTTAAATTTCTTGTCTGCTAATCCAACATCTGAGTCATCTGGGTATCTGTTTCTGTTGAGTTTTTTCCCATTAATTATGGGTTAAATTTCCTGCCTCTTCACGTCTAATCCTTTTTTATTGTGTAGTGGACATCGTGAATAATAATAAGTTGTAGAGATTCATAGATTCTGTTACCTTCCTCTGAAGAGTGTTGAGTTTTATTTCAATGGGGAATTAAATTATGGGCAACTTAATCCTTTTTTTGTTTGGAAGAGTTTACTTACCATGTTTTTTTTTGTTTGTTTTTTGTTTTTTTGTTTTAGTAGATCTTTATTGGAGTATAATTGCTTCAAAATACTGTGTTAGTTTCTGTTGTACACCAAAGTGAATCAGCCATATGCATACCTATATCCCCACATCCCCTCCCTCTTGTGTCTCCCTCCCACCCTCCCTATCCGACCCCTCTAGGTGGTCACAAAGCACTGAGCTGGTCTCCCTGTGCTATGCTGCTGCTTCCCACCAGCTAGCTATCTATTTTACATTTGGTAGTGTATATGTGTTGATGCTACTCTCACTTTGCCCCAGCTTCCCCCTCCTACCCCGTGTCCTCAAGTCCATCCTCTATGTCTACATCTTTATTCCTGTCCTGCAACTAGGTTCATCAGTACCATTTGTTTTTGTTTTTTTTTTAATTCCATATATATGCGTTAGAATACGGTATTTGTTTTTCTCTTTCTGACTTACCTCACTCTGTATGACAGACTCTAGGTCCATCCACCTCACTACAGATAACTCAATTTTGTTTCTTTCTATGGCTGAATAATATTCCATTGTATATATGTGTCACATCTTCTGGGTGGAAGACCTAAATAGACATTTCACCAAGGAAGACATACAGATGACCAAGAGGCACATGAAAAGATGCTCAACATCACTAATTATTAGAGAAATGCAAATCGGAACTACAGTGAGGTATCACCTCACACCGGTCAGAATGGCTGTTAGCAAAAAATCTAGAAACAATAAATGCTGGAGAGGGTCTGGTGAAAAAGGAACCATCCTGCACTTTTGGTGGGAATGTAAATTGGTGCAGCCACTGTGGAAAACAGTATGGAGGTTCCTTAAAAAACTAAAAATAGAACTACCATACGACCCAGCAATCCCACTACTGGGCATATACCCTGAGAAAACCATAATTCAAAAAGAGTCATGTACCACAGTGTTCATTGCAGCACTATTTACAATAGCCAGGACATGGAACCTACTTACCATGTTTAAAGTTTGTTAAGATAGGTCTCTTTGGGTTTTTTCCTTAGTCCTCTGATATAACCCTTAGTCCTAAGATGACGTCCTTTTTCCCAGAGCTGGCCCTTCTGGGGTTCTCATGAAATGCCTGAGGTGTTTACCAAGTCCTTCTAACTTGGTGGGACTAGGAAGCTACCTCAGGGGAAAAACTGGTTAAGCATAGGATCTCACTTCATTTTCTTCCCTTCCTTTAGAGATTATAACCCCTCCATTTTCTGCCTGCTTTTGATCACTTTTCGGTGATTGCAAATTGTTATTTGTTGCATTTGTGCAGAGTTTATAATAGTTATCTGTGGGTGGGTTAGTTTGATACAAACTACTTAGCCATTATTGGAAGTGAAACTTAGGGAGATGTTTTTGAGCAGAGCTGATGCCTCAGCCACATCCAAGGACAGTGCCTGTGCTTTGACCAGTGTGTGCAGCTGTGGGAAGGTCTTTTGTGGCTCAACGGCCTGGCTGGGTGGGAAGTGTGGCCAGAACAGGTCTGAGAGACTGGGCACTTAAGGAACCAGGTGTTTCCCTGATGTGGAAGAAGCATGAAAGTGGGAATAGAGGTGGGAGAGAGCTGGAGAGATAGGAAGTTGGTCCTTTCAGCCTTACTTTCATCATTACCACTGATCTGCTATTGTGAGGGGTAGTAAAGTATGTGAGTGTTCAGCAAATGGTGTTTATGATTATGGAGGCCACTGGGTTGAGCTTTACCAGAGCTTGATCCACAAGGCACAATCCTTGTCATGTCATCTGGTGACTTCTCTGTCCTCCATGGAAGCACATGTGAGGCGAAATGGGGTTGTTGTTGTTACATTATCATCAGGAACATCACTGTCACCATCCATGCTGCCTACCCTTGAGGGGTATGTTTCTCCATGGTTCTTTGCTCTATTAGTTTGGATAGAGCTAGGCTGTATTAAAAGAAACTGCAAATAACAGTGGCTTAAGCGAAATAGAAGTCCAGTTCTCTGTCACACAACAGTCTGGGCGTAAGAGTCTCAGGCTGCTGAGGGGGCTCTACAGGCAGGAACTCAGGCTTCCTCTGTCTGGTTCATCTGTCGCCACTACTCTGTCACCTTCATCTGGATGGGCCAATATGACTTATTACCACCTGTCTTTATTCCAAACAGTGGGAAAGGGAAAGGGGCAGCTATGGGTACATCGCCTCTCCCCATGAAGGACCCATCCCAGAAGATGCAAATGTCACCTTCACATCCCACTGACCAGAGAACTTAGCCACCCAGCTACAAAGGAAGCTGGGAAATACAGTCTTTATTTGGGGCAGCCATGAGTTTATCTATACGTTTGGAGTCGTAATACTATAGAAAGGGAGACTCCGTGTTGGGGGACAGCTAGCAGTCCCTGCTACCAATCCTGAGGTCATACACCTGGATTTTTAGCTCAAGGGTCACTTTACAGAAGGAGCTTGGCAGTCCCTGGGGAGCCCACTGAGCACTGAAGTTGAGCGATATCTGCCTGCTCTGTACGTTTCTCTGTGACAGCAGACAAGGATCATTGCTCTAACAGATACCAATAAGTGGAGGTAGTGTGACTGTTAAGGAACAAGGCTCAGTCTACAAGCCGCTCGTCAGTTCCAGACTTATTCCCCAGTGGCTACACCATGCAGGAAAGGTGTGCAAAGCTGGGGTTGAAAGAGCCCAAGTGATGCCAAGATTTTACACTGATCCTCCCAGCTCTGCCTCTGACTGGCAAAGTCACGCTCGGTGTGTGCTTTAACTTTCCAGGTCTCCAGAGTAGGGAATTGAGTTGTCTCTAAGGTGTTTGCTTAGCACGCATGTTGTAGAATTGTATGATTCCTTGACACTCCCTATCTTTGCACTAAAGCAAGCTTCCAGGAGGATGCAGCCACTTTAACTCCTTTGTGGAACGGGTGAGGGTGGGAGTGTACATGCATCTGCTTGCAGGGGCCTGCAGACATGGGTTTTTCTATTTCCTTGGGCTTTCTTGGTTGTGGTTTTTTTTTTTTTTTTTTTTGCTGTATGCGGGCCTCTCACTGTTGTGGCCCCTCCCGTTGCAGAGCACAGGCTCCAGCCGCGCAGGCTCAGCCGCCATGGCTCACGGGCCCAGCCACTTCGCGGCATGTGGGATCTTCCCGGGCTAGGGTACGAACCCACGTCCCCTGCATCGGCAGGCGGACTCTCAACCACTGCACCACCAGGGAAGCCCTTGGTTGTGGTTTTTGTAGTCAGAAGTCACCGCACAATTTTCCTTTCAATGAAGCTTATTTCTCAGCCCTATTTTTCTTTAAAAATGCTTTATTTATGCTTCTAGAACTATTATATGTTCATTGTAGAAAATAGAAAAAGGTACAATGAAAGAAGCCAAAAAAAAAAAAAAAGCACCCACAGTGTCAGTACTCAGACACCAGCACTATTAAGGCTTTAGTGTAGTCCCTTCACGTCAACGTCTAAGAAAATATGAAAAATACTTGTATCTCTACTTCAGTTCATCAAGTTGGGATCACACTATACATAATGTTTTGTAACCTGCTTTCTTTCACCTGATGACCATTTCCCGAAATCCTTAAATATTTTTCAAGGACGTGATTTTTAATGGCTGCCAAAGCTTCTAATCATTTGGATGAACCACCGTGTCCTTAACCAGTGCCCTGACATTCAGGCTGTGTCGGAGTCTCCATTATTATTAATTACATAGCAGTGACTGTTTCATGCTGCAAGCATCTTGCTCCCGTCACAAACACTGGGTGCAGGTTCGGCGCAGAGAGGTTGGAGGCCTGCCCCAAGCCACACAGCAAGTGAGTGATGGGTCCCAGCCATCTGGCCCAACTGCATCTCCTTGTGCCAGGACAGAGGAGGCACAGGCGTGACCTAGACAGTTGGCTTCCAGTGTGTCGATCTGGGTAGAGAAGAGCCGGTGGGTTTCGCAACGAGATGCTGCTGTGGGTGGCCGTGATGCTCCTGGGGAAAGCCAGCTGCTCTCTGCCCGCCCCCGCGGCAAGCCGCCCTGCCCCCGCTCCACCTCCTGGCCAGTGGTGATCCCCCGCCAGGCGCTCGAGTTCCAGGGCTGAGGAGAAAAGCTTTGGGAGACTCGAGTGGAGGCTGGGAGGGAAGGAGGCAGGCGGGGCCGGCAGGCTGGGGCAGGGAGACCACCTCGTTCCTGCTCCTCCGGGCTCCCCCCTGAGCGGGGCAGGAGATACATGTGCCAGTGGCCCTGCTGCTGGGGAAGCCGCCTCACCTGTTCTCTCCTCTCCTTTCCAAAGCACTTTTCTCTTCCTCTCCAAAAAGTATCACTCCCTAAACACCTATCCTCATCCTTGTTTAGCTCAAACTCACTCCCTCTGAGAGGGGCAAGAGGGTTCACTGTTGAGCTGGGGGTGGGGCATCAGAGCAGAACCCACCTAAGGCTCGGCGTGGGTGACCCCTTTTCCTGGCTGTGTCCCCGCCTGGGTGTCTCAGCTTTTGCCCCTTTGCCTGAGACCTTTTGGGTTTGACCGTTCTGTGCTTTTGTCTAACAGGCAACCATTGGGATTGACTTCTTGTCAAAAACCATGTACTTGGAGGATCGTACGGTGAGTGCCTGACTTGACTCGGGAGGACGGGCAGGGCTCCTTGGGACCTATCCCCTGGGGCCCACGCTGGGCACCGCTGAGAGCCTGTGCCTGGCCAGCATCCCAGAGCTGGGCCCTCCCTCAGCCCCCACTCCCACCACGAGGACCTCACTGCCCCCTGAGCCTCCTCCCTCCCTGTGACAGGTGCGACTGCAGCTCTGGGACACAGCCGGCCAGGAGAGGTTCCGCAGCCTGATCCCCAGCTACATCCGGGACTCCACGGTGGCTGTGGTGGTGTACGACATCACAAGTGAGTGTGGGGCCTGGGTGCTGGGCGGAGGGTAGCTCGCAGGGGCTCCGGGGCCAGGTGCGGCCCCAGCCAGGCTGCAGAGTGTGTGTGTGTGTGTGTGTGTGTTTGTGTGTGTGTGTGAAGATGGGAGAAGACGCTGGTCCCCAGGCCAACCTTGACCTGGCAGCCGTGGTTTTGTCAGCAGCATCCCAGTTCCTTACCGGGTTCCGTGGGAGGGGAGGCCCAGCGGGTCCAGGAGGGCCTTGGGTGGCCTGCACTTCTCACACAGTGTGGCTCTTCTGGCCAAATCAGCTGTTCTCAAGAGCGACGCACAGCCCTGAGGGAGGCTCGTGGGGCTGGGGTGAGGGTAGGGCCTGGTGCAGAGCCCCACTGCCCAGGCAGGTGTCAGGGCACACAACTGGCAAGCGCTTGGGCTGCAGTCATGGGTGTGGTGGGAGGATGCCCCAGCCGGCTGCCTCTGGCTCTGACCGCAGGCTCCCTGCACACCTGAGAGTGGGTGGGAGCTGGGCCCTGAGGAGGCCTGGGCTCCTGCAGCCTGATGCTGAGCATAAGGAAGGTCAGGCTGCGAGAAGCCCAGGTTTCCAGGAAAGGGAGCCTCCGCTCCCCTTGGGCCTGCAGGCTGCTGAGTGGTGGGCGTCGCCCTGTGACTGCTCTTCTGTGCGGCGGCCTGTCACAGCTTCTGACTGAGGAGGGGGCTGCCCTGAAATGCCTGGCCTCTCCTGGCTTTTATCTGCTCCTGGGGCCGCCTTCCCCGCTCCCCTTACTTTCAGGGCCTGAGGGTACTCTTCAGAAATCCCTCTGAGCTCCTGTCAGTGGGAGGCTGCTCTGCAGGGCCCTCCTGCGCTGGGAGCTGCTGCGGTCCCACACACACACTGTCACACTGTTTCCAAGCTCAGCCAAGTCTACTGCATCCATTCACTCTGCTGTGAGCCTCCAAAGTCAGGTCCGACTCTCAGGTGGGCCCTAGGACCACTACTAGGAAGTCATGACCCAGCGGCCTTCCAGATGCTGTGACTTCTCTCCCCAGAGGGTGGCTCAGCATATGAGGGGCCTTCGGGGACCCCGGGCACAGCTCCACAAACACGTGTGGACGTCCTTGGGAGGACCCAGGCCCGCTGGACTGTGCTCCCGCGCCGCCCAGGTGTCTGAGGGTGCACACACCCCTCCCTCCTGCTCCTGGTCTTACTCCCTTCCCGCCCTCTCCCTCTCCTGCCAGGGCTGCCGCTCACGCCCTGTTTTATCTGCACTTTCCACCTCCAGATCTCAACTCCTTCCAACAGACCTCTAAGTGGATTGATGATGTCAGAACAGAGAGGGGCAGCGACGTCATCATCATGCTGGTGGGCAACAAGACGGACCTGGCCGACAAGAGGTAGGTGCAGCGGGCTGCAGGCCGGGCCCCCTCCATACCTCTGCAGCTCCTCCTGGACGGGGAGTGCTGGGATTTGTGGGTGAGCAGCCCCTGTGAGCTACCCCCTGCCCAGCACCCTGTCTGACCTGTCCCCCTGCATCTGGGAAGGACCCCCTTGGGGCACCGGAGGCTTTGAAAGCACCTGGTAGACGCCTACCCACAGGTGTGTCATGTCTGAAGCCCCACCTTCCAGGCTGGCAGGGGCAGGGCAGGCCTCCACGCGTGGCCTGAGTGGAGCCATATGCGCCCGGCTGGCCCAGCAGCGCATGGTCTGGGCCCGGCCTCAGTGCAGACACAGACACAGCAGCCCTCGGGCTCCCACCGGCCCTGCCCCTGTGAAATGCCTGGCTGATGTGGGTGTGGGTGTGAAGGGCCTGGTCCTTCGCTGTGTCTGGGTGGGACGCTCTCCCTGAAGAGGCTGCTTGCTCCACACCATCCTCCAGGCACAGGGCTGACCCCAGCGCCCTTCCCTGCACTGGTCCACTCATCTCATGGGGCAGGTAGAGCAATGAGTCATGGACTGAGGGCTTCCTGAGATGTACTCTGCCCGTTTAGGGAATAATCTGAATTAGAGGCTGCTTTATTTGAGTCTTGTCCTTGAAGTGAAGAAAACGGAGTTCAAAGCCCAGCTCCTTTGCAGTAGGTGACCTTGGGGCCATTACTTTTAACCTCAGTGTTCTCATTTGGAAAATGGGGCTGATGGTACCACCCAGAGAGGCGGTTTGTGGCTGGCAGTGCTTTACGAATGTTGGCTCTGGCCGTGGTGACACTGCGAAAGGGACAGCAAGCCACCTGCCTCAGGGCCTGCTCCCAACCTGGACGGAGCTGCCAAGGAGTAGGGAGGGGCTGGTGTCCTGCTGTGCCCTGAGGGAGCCCTGGGGTCCAGCCCCGACTTCAGGGCTGACTGAGGGGCCCCCATCATCTGAGGCTGCTCCCTCCGCCCCCACCAGGGGCTACTTCCCTACTGAACTGGTCCCCCCTCGCCTCCCCTCCAGGCAGATAACCATCGAGGAGGGGGAGCAGCGCGCCAAAGAACTGAGCGTTATGTTCATCGAGACCAGCGCCAAGACCGGCTACAACGTGAAGCAGGTGGGGTCTGCCGCCTTTGGCCAAGGGGCTAGTGACTAGGTGGGGCCATCCAGCCACCAGATGGGGAGCGAGTAGCCTCCAGAGCTCTACTGCTCGCCCTCAGGCCGTTGGGGCTATGGGATCAGCCACCAGCTTCAAGGAGGCCGAGAGACGTAGCATTCCCCTGCTTCTTACCTCACGTGGGGTGGACGTGCAGGAGGGTCTATCCAATCAGCATTTTGGGGTTCCTGCCTTGTGCTTGGCACGTGCTCAAGGCTGTGGCGGTCCAGGCAGGCTTGGAGACAAGAGCCCACCCACGGTGCGGTCCAAGCTCGCGGTGGGGGGAGGCCTGGGAGTCAGAAGCCTCAGAGGAGCCGTAGAGGGGGTGGGGTTAGGGCTGAGCCTGGGAGCAGGGGTCTTCTCCTGGGTCCACAGACCCCCAAGGAGTCCACAGATGGAATTCAGCAGGTCAGTGGATTTAGGTGGGAAACAAGTGTCTCTGCACTAACCTCTGACGGGTCTCCAGCATTTCCTGCAGCTGTGAGCGTAGGCAACCCAACTCCGTATGTTAGCAGCACCTGGGGCTTTATCACGGTAGAGGTCACAGCCGCTTTCTTATCACCTTACGGTGTCGCAGGTCTCTTGAACTTTTTCCCACCTCAGTATCTCAGGGGCTGTCAGACGCCCTGCCGGCTTCTGCTCTTTAACAGGCTCCCGGGCTGCTAGTCACAAGTCTGTATCTTTAAAGATTTTAGAAGTTTGTTTCAATACTAAGTGGTCTCCTTTACATAAAACTTATATGTAATTCATTTCACACACTTAAAAGGAGCCCATAGGCTTCGCCAGCCTGCCAAAGGAATCTTTGGTTCAAAAAAAGGTGAGGAACCCCTGTCTGCAGGGAAAAGAGGACTCAGAGAGGTGATGAGAGGGGGCGGCCTGGGCCAGGGGACCAGCATGGGCACAGGTGCCGCTGGAGGAGTGTCGGGGCCTGGCTGGGGGTTACTTCTGCCCTGCCGCCCCCAGCAGTGTCCAGGGGCACTAGACAAGCTGCCACTGTAGCAGCCGGCCTCACGCAGTGAGGCTTTACCCAGTCTGGGCAGTGCCTTGCCAGTGGGAGGTGGCAGAGGAGCGGAAAGGGACAGAATGGGAGGCCCCGAGCTCCCAGGACTCAGTGCCCCCACCCCAGTTGGAGGGTCATCAACATGGCTCTCTTCCCTCCCATCCCCTTCCCAGCCTCCTTCGGAATAAGGCCAGGGTGGCCGTGGTGTCACCTGGAGGAGGGAGCTACCTGTCCCTGGAGGCCTGCAGGAGACACTGGTTGCTGCTCTGCGCGGCCCTGATGGAAAGGCTTGGGGGGCAGGGAAGCAGAGGGCAGCAGCCCCGAGGGCAGGTAGCCTCTGCCCCCATGGTCAGGGAGATGCCGATGCCCCCCTTTCCGGATTGCTCTGGAAGCCGGGCGATGGTCTGAGCCGGAGTTGTATATGGTCGGTTCTAAGCCTGTGTGGTGGAGAGGCATCCCCATGCAGTGTAGCCTCCTGGACTCTGAACGTGAGCATATCTGCTCTCAGAAGCCCCCATGTGACCCCAAGAGCCTCTATCTAACTCCCACTTCTGCCAGCCACGCTCAGAGCCCCCCTGCAGCCTGCCCACAGGGTCCATACCACGCAGAGCCCACCAGTGGCTTCCCCGCCTGGACCCTTACCGCCTTTGGTCCTGTCACCCAGCCTGGGTGCTCCCATGCGGCTGGGCTCTGGGGTGAGACCTTGAATAAGACTCACCCTGTCTTCAGAGAGCTCAGGCAGTGGAGAAGTTTTAAGCCCAGAGCTCACCTAGTTCCTGCAGTTGGTGTTTGTAGAGAGATGGGAGGGAATTCAGGATCTTCTGGTGCCTTGTGTTTCTGCCTTGTACTTGCCGTCACCCGCTAGGTTCCACGCACGCGCACACACACACACACACACACACACACGCACACAGTTCTCATGCACACTTTACAGACTTACACGCACAGAAACCCCACATGTGTACATGTACACACCATACACACTCATTCTCCCCCCACAGATGCCACACATCCACACCACACCACCCATACTCCTCTACACACAATATGCACATCGCACTCACCCACACCCAAGCAAACCCACAATGTCACATTCACACTCCTGTGTCCTTATTGCCTCCAAAAAAATCTCCGCTGTGACTGTGTGGCCCTGACTCCCAGCTGCCCCGATGCCCGTGGGGCTCTCTGAGGAGAGGGTCATTGTCTCAAGGGCAGGTCGAAAGTCCCTTCCCCACACCAGGTCCCTACATGGGCAGTGGGCCAGAAGCTTGTCTCCCAGAACCTAGATCGTTTTCTGCACTAGGGTAGGTCCCTGCCATCACCATGACCCACACTCAGCCCCTCGTGACCCTGTGGCCAGCCTGCCTGGGTGAGAGGCCTGCCGGGGCCCAACGCCATGAGAGGTGCTGGGGGCACAGGTGGGAGAAGTTAGGTGCAGCCCCTGCTGTCCAGGGTGCAGTCAGTGGGACAGAAAGAGAGCAGAGCCCGAGGTCAGGGTGAGAAGAGGCAGAGGGTGGAGACACCGGCAGCAGGAGGGGAAGGATGGGGGCTCATGCTGCATCTCCCCCTCTCCCCAGCTCTTCCGACGTGTGGCCTCGGCTCTGCCTGGAATGGAGAACGTCCAGGAGAAAAGCAAAGAAGGCAGTATCCTTTTCCTTTGACAAGTGAGTGAAAGATGTGCTGCAGAAGCCATTTATTCATTGATTTATCCACGTGGTACGTTAGAACAGTGGGCAGACCCTTGCCAGTTCTCCAGGCCAGCCTTCCTGGCAGATAGCTGTTCTGTGGGGCCTCCTCTGTACAGGGATGAGGCTGAACTCCAAGGTCCTTAAGACCATATCCAGCTCGAACCACCTAAGCTTCCAAAACCGTGTGGGAATGCCAGAGGGATGTGTGTGGAGTGACAGTGTGGGGAGTGAGAGATAGTAAGTGCCCTTCTTTCCAGTGAACACAGACCCGTGTTTCATGGGGACAAGTAGAATCTCCATTTCCGTGCACTCAGACGTGATTTCAGCATGGCCCAACCTCCTCTGTGCGAGATGACTGCCCCGCCAGGTGTCTCCTCCCCTGCCTGCCCTGCACAGCCCAGGCCTCCCCACTGCTCTGGGGGCAGGGTCTGCACACCGCTCACACCGTCCACCCCAGAACTCAGGCCACACCCAAAAGCTGAAACTGAGGCTCAGAGAGGTGGTCTGATTTGCCCAGTGGGGAGGAAGGCAGTTGTTCATTGTCTATTTACTAGTTTATTTATAGTCTACCATGTTATAAATAATGTGTGTTTATGTATATATACGCTGCGTACACACAAAACAGGATAAAAATGTGCATAAGAAGATTGGGGTTTAGGGAAAATCAGGAAAAGTCATGGACAAAGTCATACTCAGAATATGCCATGGCCAGGTGGCCAAAAAGTGGTAAGGAGGGAAGGTGGTACGTGGTCTTTAGGGGAAGCATGGCTTTTTATAGTACTTAACTTCTGAAGAACCTCTCCCATCGTCCTTACCTAGGGACCACAAAACCTCCCTAGGACACGGGCAGCAGGTCCCATAGCAGGGCTGCTTCAACCCCTACCCACTCCCAGCCCCACAGGAAGGGCGATTCTGCGCAGTGCCGTGACCAGGCCTAGCCTGGCCTGACTGAGATTTCAGCCTGGTGAGGGCAGAGGGAGCGGCCTGGCTGTGCACTCTGCACCCGCTCCTCTGGCGGTTCCGATCGGTGCTTCGCCAACCCCCAGTCCCCACGGCGCCCGTGGAAAGGGCTGGAGAGGGGCTATGCTGACACCCTGCCCCAGGGATGTGGGTTCTCACAGCAGCAGCCTCAGGGTCTAAGCGACCCGTTCTGACGGGAGCTTGAGGGGTCAGGGTTGCTGTGCCCACCTGGGCAAGGCCCGTGTAGCCCTGTACTTTGTGAGGTGGGCTCCATGCCCGGCCGGCAGGCTCCACCTCCTGGGCACTTTGGGGTGGGGCTGATAGGTAACAAGGCCGAGGCCGAGGCTGGTCACCGGGAAGCCTTCTAAGAAAGGGTCTGTCGGGCCTGTGTTTAGATGATGGTCCCACAGCCCAGGACAAGTTTTACTTCTGGTGGATACTGGTGAGGGCATGTGGAAGGGTCGGGGAAGAGGTGGAAGGGTGGGAGCTGGTGACCCTGCATCCTTCCCACCCAGGCAAAGAAAAGAGCAAGTTCCTGGGTGTTTGCTGAGGGACAGAGGGTCTGCGCAGGGCAACTTAGGGGGCACCGGAGCAGGAGCGGGGGTGGGAGCTCCGAGAGCGTCATCTTCCTTAGCCCCGCCCCCTGCAGTGATCGACATCAAGCTGGACAAACCCCAGGAGCCTCCGGCCAGCGAGGGTGGCTGCTCCTGCTAATGCAGCCTGACCGCAGGCTTCCTTTAACACTACTCGCTTGTTGTGTTGCTTCCTATTGGTTAGCTTCCTAAGGGGGGTGGGAGATGAGCTTATCCAGATGGGAGGATTTTTCTTTTCTCTCTGTCTCTAGGAGTTGGGTGGGATGGGGAGGGAGGCTGGGCATCAGGGATCACGTCACTCTTAACAGCTGTTACTTAAACAACTATTTTTTGGTTTGGTTGTAATATATTGTACTTTATTAAGATTGCCAAAAACTGTTAAAATTAAAAAAAAATTTAAACCATGTGTATACAACTTTTTGCCAGATAAAAATGTAGTCATTTTTATTTGAAAGATGTGCTTTTTTGTTTTTGTATATTTGTAAACTTACAGAGAACCTTTTCCACACACCTCCTCCTTCCTGTCCTCTTTGAACGGTTCATCACCTCTGCTCTCCTCCCACCCCCAGACCAATACATTTAAACAATTAACTGGGCGATTTAATTAGGTTCCAATCCCCGGGCTGTCTGGCCCAGACCAACCAGCATCCACCAAACAGGCCCTACCTGGTTAAATCAAACACTGATTGAATGAAACAGCCTCTGAAGAGGCAGCAGTGACTCTGTCCTTCTTCCATGGCCAGAGTGGGGCATTAGTCACGGCCCCGAGCTGAAATTAAGGCCTTGTGAACTGCAGGGGGCCCAGCCGCAGGCCCACTGGAATTATTTCTGCCTCTTTCCCCTCCCTGAAAAGCCTTGAGAGGGCACTCGCCACAGGCAACCTTCCACTCTCTGTGGTCCGCCTAGTGATTGGCAGAACAAGAGGTCATGGGAAGGAAGGAAGGATGGGGTGCTGTTGGCAACTGTGGGCTGGTTTATAGACTGGGGGCACCATGTGTAGTTCTGAAAATGTTTTAGCCAACCTGTCCAGCGATCAGCACACACATCTGGGTTGCAGGGAAGGGAAGGGCAAACGGAATCTCAGTGTGTGCCCCCTGAAGCCCTCCTCCTTGGGTGCCAGGAAAGCTGGAGCCTGTATCACACAGTATTGGCCCGTCTGTGATTGGGGAAGGGAGGGTCTGCAGAACTGCCGCCTGGAAGATGCATGTTTGCCACCTTGGTTGCTAATACTGTTGATGCTGTTCTGCAAAAGCTGACTTCTTGACGTGTTTCTGCCACTCTGGCACAGTGCAGTTGAAACCTTTGTGCACAGACCTTTGCAGCTATTGTAGCAGCACTCTGCTTGCCTGAGGGTAGGGCTGAAGTGGGGTCCCCAGAAGGCTTCCCAGAGAGACGTCCTTGCCATGTTTGACTCATTTCTGAGAGGACTTAGACCTGAGGACCTATCTGTAAAATCTCTGAAGAGAACTCTCTCTTTCACTAAGTGATGTAGCCTGCTTGGCCAGCATTCCAAATAGACCCAGACTCACCACCCCTGAGCTGGCCCAAAGCCAGGCAGTGGGCAGCCACTCTGGCCAAAATCGGTAAGCCCTGCCCTCCAAGCCGGCATTGACTCTTCCTCCAGGCTGCTATTGGGCTTGTCATAATTGAGCTAAATGACCATCTGGGGTGTGGTAGGGGGTAAATTCCTCCATAAAGCAGGGCTCTGACAAGTTATTGCAATGAATTTGGAACTTCTCAGAAACTAATCCAAACTGGCAGCCTGTAAGTGCAGCAGGACCTGGCAGGACTCATTGATAAGTTGTCCAGTGGGTCTGTCACACACTCAGCTAAGGAGAGACTGTGTGTCAGAGCTGATCTTTAGAGAGGAGTGTATCTTCGGGTGAAGAAAAGAGGAAGCAGGATTCCCACTGAGCTCCTCTTCCAGAAGGCATAGACCAATGTACGAACGTAATTCCAGTGTCAAGTGTTGAGTTTTTATATGTGTGTACATAATTATATATAGAGATAGATTTGTGTATACACCTTCCACACACACATTCTCACAGAGATTCATGTGCTCAATGTATATTCTTGTTCTTCCTCCTCTCAAGTTGGAACTTGCATTGTGATAACAGTTTTGGAAATTCAAAAGTACTGCAACGTGTTGAAATAAGAAATACTTAATATTGTCCCAAAACTTGTGATTGTCTTGCCATCAATAAAATACTGCATAGATTTGTTAACTACAGGCAAAACTAGCCCCTGGGAATATGTGCACTCTTTCTGTCTGTACTTGTATGCACAGGTGTGCATGCCCACGTGGGCCCGTAGCCGCACCATGGCACACCCCCCAAGCGGTGCTTGTTGGAAGAGTGCTTACTTACCTGGTGAGAATTCATAGGAGTCCAGGTGACAGCACCCGGCTTGGCTGGCAGTGAGGGCCATTGCTTGTGGCCCCTGGGACAGCCCCATTTGCAGGGATCTCTTTGGGTCTCAGTGAATGAATGGATGGCGGATTTTTATGTTCTTGGTACTAAGAGTACTTTTTCTTAAAACATTCTTGTAAAAAAAGGTAGAAAGTCCTCTTCTCATGTGCACACATACCCAAGGCACCACTTTTTTTTCCATCACAGCCTAGAAGAATAGTAAGAGACGCAGTAGATACAATGTGGCTTGATGTGGCGTAGGTGAGCCCTCCTTTTCCAGTGCGTACACAACATCCTCTCTCCTGAGCCCGGACTCTCCCAGCCCCGTGGGCCTCTGCAGGTGAGGGCGGTTGCCTCCCCTCATCCTCCCATCTTGGTGGTGCCACACCGCTCCATGGGCACCCTCCTTGGGCCTCATCTCCACCCCTCATTCCTGGGTCTGTCAGGGCAGCCAGACCTCCAGCACAGAAGGGTGTTGGCTCCTTGGCTCCCGTTTTGGGCAGGTGCCATCACTGCCCTCTTGCTTGTAGCTAGGATCTTGTCTCAGGGTTAAGGTTCAATAATGAAATGATCAGGTTCCCTTGAAGAAAATATCATGAAATTCCTCAGCATACGCAGTGAGAGTATCCTACCGTTGCCAAATCCAGGCAAAGGGGAGGAATCCTTTTAGGAAAGGATCTCAGTTTAGCCCGTGGTTCAGTCTCTCTCCCCACAGAGCAGCCCTGACCTGGGAGTAGAGCAGGGTCATCTTCTGTAGCCCTCTTTTTTACTTTGAGGAATCTCAAAGAAAAGCTGTCAGTAAAGCTCCTGTTTTGTGGGCATCTGAAAAATTGAGCACACGGTGGGAAAAGCAGGAAGCATATTTATGAATGCACACATGTGCCGGAGCGAAAGTGTGGTACCAGCATCTTGAGTGCTAGAACTGCAGCTGTGTGGTCCAAGGCGAGCAAGTGCTGACTCAGTCAGAGGCCTCCCTGCCATCATCGTCACGACTCTCTTCCTGACAGCATCCTCAATCGGTCTGGAATGTCCCAGGTTCGAGGAGCAATGGCCAGATCAGTTCCAGTGTCTCAGGCAACAGAAACAAGGGTTGTATGGTGGTGGCTAAGGGTGCAGAACACATCTTGAGTGCAATGTCTCTGTCTTCCTGGTGGCCAGTCAGTGCTGGGAGCCCCTGCCCACAAGTACCAGGTGTGACAGTAATGGCACCGCTGGCTTCGGTGTCCTGCAGGCAGAGCAGCCTCATTCCTTCACATGGCAGAAGGCGGGTGAGGATGTCAGGATGTGAGAACAGGTAGCCGAGGGCTGTGAGGTATGTCTGAGCCACACAAAGGGCAGCTGAGCTGAAGTGTCTGTGCATTAACCCGTGCGCACTAGTTTCCTAACTACCTCTCCCCCAAAAATGTGAGGCATTGTCCCCTGGCTACAGCTGATCGAGGTGGAGAGCTCAGAACCCTTCCTATGCCAAGGCAGGAAAACCAAGACCGAAAAGGGTGACTTGCTTACGGTCACCCAGTAAGCCAGAAGCAGTCAGAACCAAGGTGTTTCCACTCTTCATCCATTGCTGACCTGTGTGTAACAAATGTGACGGTGCGCTGGCACACAGGGCTGCTGGGCACGCATGCTCCTCAGGCCATCTCTACTCTGGTTCGGATGTAAGTCTGTCCAGAATAGCCGAGTGAGGCAGGAAAGAACCCATGTACATTTCAGGCTCCTCCATTGCAAAGAAGGGCCAGTCACCAAGTCCACTCTGATTGTCAGACCAGGGCACCCTTTGGACTTTTTGTTTGAAATGGACTGTTTCAGTGTTCCGAAACCTTGAGCTCTCAGTGTGTAAACTCCCTGGACACCAGACCCCCCGCCTCCCTGTGTGGCTGACACTCCAGGCAGGGCGTGGTTTATCCTTGCAGTGGGGTTCAGACCTTCCTTCCAGTGCGAAGCCTCCATACATCGACGGCCAGCCTGTATCACGTGTGTGTCACCTTCCCCCTCGCCCGTCCCCATAAAAGTGATTGGCCGTGAGGAGCACAGAGGGTGGCATTTCCATCTCTCACTGGCTCAGCAGATTTAAATGGCCACATTGACTTTACATAAAACTGTGTAAAATGTGGAAGACTCAGCATGTTGATCAAACAATAAACTGTCCTAATTCTCAACACAAAGGCTCTTGTCTAATGCTTCTAAGTGGTGCAGTCATGTATGGGTGGGGGGGCAGGGCATGGTGTGGACAACACAGGTTTCTTCAAGTGCATTCTCCACGAAGACCCTCCTCTCATGTCCCGGTGGTGTGTTCACCATCCAAAGCCCTTTGCTTCTCCCTTCTGTTCACCTGGGCTTTCCAATTCAGAAGGGGGAAAAGGCAGGACCCATTAATAAGATTAAATCCACACACTTCCATAATCTGCATTCTGCCTAAAGGCTGATGGAAACTCCAGGCAGAACTGAGACTCAGGGCTGTGTGATACCTCCTGTCATCCCTGCTTTCCACTCGCCATGGATGAGGGTTAGGAAGGGTGGGTACAGGGGCTGGATCTCCCTTCCGGTGATTTCTAGAAAGTATTTAAAGGCAAGAATTCAAGATGAACCATAATCACCTTTCAGATGACACTAAGCTGCCTCGTACCCCTCCAGCAGCACTCCACACCAATCAGAGAACCTCCCTGAGACGGCCCTTCAGGTCTCAGTCACCTCCAGACTAAAAAATGCCCTGAAGGCCAGGAGAGTGGTAGGACCAATCCAAAGAGGACACGAAGGCCAAGATTAGGCCCAGAATTGCCCTGGTCTGATAATGCTGGGAATCCGGGGCTATAGGGAAAGCCAAGTTCACCAGGTCTTATTCTTCCTCAAGTTCAACTTCACTAAAATTATCTTTCCCCTTTAAAGGTACTAAAGTTTCTGGAACACCCTCCAATCTGCCACCTCAAGGAAGCCATCTCTGATTAGGAGGAACAGGAACTAGGTGTCCCTGCCCACTGAGCCTAACTTTCCTGGCTGCCAGGTGTAAACTGTAAGGTAGAGGAGGCACCGGGCCTGAGAGCCAAAGTGCACGTGCTTGTACGGACCAGATCAAAGCCAGAGTAAAGCTGTTCCGGACAAACAGTCATTCCCCAAGACCGTGGTGTTCAGGGCCACGTGACTGCAGACAGGAAGGGGAGTGGGTCACCTCCCTGAGCATGGTGCTTACACGGACGCCCAGCAACCCCTTCCCCCACGGGTGAAGGAAGCACTGTTGGGCTTCCCCAGAGGTGAATGTGAAGATTAGGGTTGTGGTGAATGTCCTGCCTGGAGTGCCCTGCTTGCCATCAAGGGATGTCGCTCAAGGTGGCTTTCCCTATCACTGTAGCTGTGTTTTGCTGTCCAGTGACCAAGGGTGCAGACAGGAGCTTTGATAATCCTGTGCTAACTGCAAATTTTTTAAAAAAGCATATTTTAGTTGAAACAAAAAGCTCTAAGTCAAAAGAACACCAAGTGCCTCACCCACGACAGGACCACAGGGTGGATGCTGGGATCACAGGAGACACTGAGACACGGGTCAGGTTGGGGCTGCAAGGGTGGCACAGCAGCACGAGAAAGGGCGAAGGTGAGGGCAGCCCTGAGGCAGTTGACCTTGGGGCCCATGCAGTGGGGGGAGGGGGGTGCAGCTCAGTACAGCTAAGATGGAGCCCATGCTAATGAGGGGAGAGCAGGGGCTGCATGGAAAGGGCACATTTCTTCACCTCAGAACGTGACCATATGCCCATAAAAGCAGGAATTGTGCCATACTTAGTATTCCCGGAGCTGGGTACGGTGCCTGGCGTCTTCTGAATGAGTAAACACCATACACGGCTCTTGTGAGTAGTCAACAGTTTAGGGCTTCGTAGTTGAACAAGGAAGTGGGACTACTGGCCTGTGCAGAAGTCAGGTGAGGTAACCAACCACCTTCCTTTAAGTAACTGAAGGGCTGAAATAGGTTAGCATCTAAACTGCTGCTAATGCACCTTTAGGTGAGAATGGGCATAACCAGTTGAAGCTTTGACAATTCCATTCTAAATCAAACCTTAAGAAAGAAAAAAAAAAAGCATAACATTCTGGCTGAAATGATCTCAAACCAATAGAACACAGCCAAGTGCCTCACACACAGCAGGACCACTGGAATCCCAAGGGTGCTGAGACACAGGGCGTGGGGAAATATAAGGAGCAGACCTCAGGGTCTCCCCAGCAATAGCAGCTGTTGTTGGTCAGGAGCTAAGATCCCAGCAAACCATCAGGCACCTGGCATCAGAGGGGCTACCAAGGCCCCAAAATGCTCGGAAAGTGTTGAAAGAGCTGGAAGAAACAGGCGGCCTCAGTCTGCGGGTGTGCTCAGTACCCACGGAGACCCCATTCCGGAAGCGGGTGGTATGTACCAGGACAGTGAGTGCCCAGGGCTTGCTCATCACAGTTGTCTCCACACCGGCACCACACCACGCCTGCCCCTCCCCACTCGCAGGGCACAGGGCCATTCACATCAGGTGGCAGCTGCCCTGGGAGCAGGTCTCAGCGGCCCCAACATGCAGTGGCTCAGACACTGCCGTGTTCCCAAGGTGTTTCAAGCCACAGCTGTCTCACCTGTGACATACAGTCATGCCTAGTCTGCTGGTCCCTGTGACCTGACATCCCTCTTTCCACTCTGGCCATACTCGCCTCCCATCCCATGAAGAAATGGGCCTACTTTGGCTGAACGGGTTCAGTGCCACAAGAAAATAATTTGACCTCCCATTGAAAACCCTTCCAAGCTCCCAAGGACTACTCACCATGACCTCACCCTGGCCCAGACCCACAAGAGTGGGATGACTGTGGCACAGGGTTAGGAAGCAGGATGGGACTATGCGGCCTGCCTGCTTCCTTCACCCTGTGAGCAAAACTACACAGGGCTTGTGGCCCAAAGAACTTAGAAACGAAACACACTAAAGGCACGCATGATACTACAGGAGGCCACGTCACCTGTGAGGGTGCGCCCAGGAGCCCCAGGTGCTTGGTAGAGGTCACGTTAAGCATGCAGATTCCTGAGACCACACCCGATCTACTGCTGAATTGAATGTTCAGAAGCAGGGTCCTCAGGTGAGCTCTTTAACAAGCATCAGTTAATTCTGATGCACACTAACATCTGAGAATCACTGTTTGAGACATAACTTTCCTTCTGCAAAAGATCATCTTTAGGTCTTGAATAAAATTCAACCTTGCTCCCCTTCTTCAAGTCACTTGTTCTGTGTATTGCTTCCTCCAATAAAGTAAAACAGTTTATTACCAGAAAAAAACATCAAAAAAGCTGAGAGAACACACACGCCTCTTAACGGAAGCATCAAGCCATTGATGTTTATTCAGGTGAGCATTACCTATGATTATGTGAACATGTCACATTCATCAGATTCCTTTTGGGCTTCCGGTTCACTGATCTTACCCACTTCCTTAAATTACTACTTGGCTAATAAGGAAAGGGCAAGAAAGAGTCCAAAAGACAGTAATAACATTAGCAGCAGTGAGGCTTCCCAGTAAGAACCCTGCCACGGTCATACGCTTAACGTCTTCTCCGCACGAGCTTGGGTTTATTTCATACTCCAGCAGCAAGGTGTGTGATGCAGGGTGTGCGGGCGGGGGAGGAGGGGCCCTGGGGTCCCCTCACTCGGAGCCAGAGTGACACACAGGAAGGGGAGACAGCAGGCAGAGGCCTGGGCCGTAGTGTATGTACGTGGGGGCCACACTCACTGGGACGTCATCAGCTCCATGCTTTTCTCCTTTGCCTCTCCCCATCCCTCAAGACTGGGTTAGGCGCCCCACTGCACACTCCTGGAGCACCCTGTGCCTCTCCTGTTAACTGCACTTCCCACACTGCTCTGCGATTAGTGTCTCACTTATCCACAGCCACCCTTGTCTCCTTTGAGGCTTTAGTTGGCTTGTCCCTGAGTGTGTGAGCTAGGGATTGAAGAGTTTCTTCTTACGTACACTGCAATCATTAGGCCCTGGAAACCTGGAGTTGGGCCTGAATCCTAAAACGTGCTCCCATTTGTACCTACTCTACCACTCTATTTAAATGCTTTAAGCTAGACAGGCTGTTTTGTTTACCATGAAATGTATTAATCATTTATAAAAGCCATTAAAAAAGCCATACATTTAAGAAGACAGCGAAGAACATCACTTTGAAAATGCCATTTTTCTTAAACCATCAGTGAACATGCACTTTAAAAATCTACAGAGAACTTTTTTCATTTTGTATTTGTTCCACAGCATTCAAGCTGACAGTACAAGATAGGAGCTCATCAAACAGCACATGAAGATAGCCCAGGAGCATTCACGCATCCAGAAAAACAGAACAGCTTCTAAATCTCCACATATTCCCCAGTTAAGGGAAACCACTAGAACGTACATTTCTAGGGTACATTTTAGTAGCATTTGGGGATTTAGCACTTACAGTTCTATCACCTGGGGCCGACTCCTAGGGTTCACAACATGTTTTTGAAACCTAAGTGCTATGAGGCTGGAGTGTGGACAAGTCACTGAGCTGATGAAGAACAGACCACTGTCAACACAGCCCTGCTGTTTTCAACCTTCCTTCACATGTCGGAGACCATATTGTAATTGCACCTACAAATCTGAAAATTCACAGAGGACTAGATGATGTACTGCCCATGAATGTCAAAGGCAATTGGAAATCACCCAGTTCCATACACAGACAGGTTTGTTTCCAGGAAAAAGAGACCAAAGCACAGAAGCAGAGGACAAGAAAACATTTTAGATGATATTATATTCTCATGATAATATCCTCTCTACGTGAGGTCGGCTTGTTAGACCTTGACCTTACATCAAGCATATGCTAAAGGGACCTTACATACACTTTGAAAAGGGAAGACACGAATCAAATAAAACTAACTAGCTTGAAAGCAATAAGGGAGAACTGAACTTAAAAACTTCCACACTGGTTTCAACAATAATTTGTTTCCAGAACAAGGAAAAGTTCCTAACTATATTTGTACCCCTTCTTTATCAACTCCAGACCACCACATCCTTTTCCAAAACTGTCAGTCACACACATACACACTCCCGTCTTGTGTTTGCATCTGGCCCTCAGGCGATTTTAGCCAGCCACTTCTCCAAGTCCTGGATGTCAGCAGAGCCAGCGTCCCCTCTTCCGCCCTTGGCACTGCACTCCAGGAACTCCACTTTGAGGGGCAACTGTGAGAATTCAAATTCTTTGCCTTTCTTTCCCAGCTGAGCAGTGGCAGTGCTAGAACTGTCCAGTATGCTGGGGGCAGCAGAACGGGTGACTCGTAAGGTATTGCTGTGAGACAAAAGGAAAATGAGTCAGGAAGCAAAAAGAGCTTAATTTTTATATAACAATTAAAGGCCTTTAGGAAGTCATATTAATTCCTAAATATTTCAGCACTCATTTAAATACTTCATCATAAAACTGTCAATTATGCTATTAGGATTGCTGAATATTTGCATTTACAGGTCACTCTCTTGGACAGACAGGATACGGATCCAACCTAACATGGCCAGATGACAGGAGGGCACTAATGAACCAAGGTCACACCAACCTTCTTCCAGTTCAGTGCCCCCTTCTACTAGGATTTCCTGCATGATGCCATTTTAAGATACAGTTTTAAATTACCTGCTATAAGTATTATAAAACCTTTCTGAAAAGTTTCTGAAAGTGAAGTGTGGGTAGATAGGGTATTTATATTTACCTTGAGTCTATCTGGATACAGAGCTTAGAAATCCACAAACTACAGACTCTCATATCCAGTTTGGGTACAATTACTATTCTCCAATCTCTTTAACCACTAACACTTTCCCAATTTGAGTCACTTAACTGCCACCTGCTGGCCCTAATAAGAATTGCAAAAGCAAGGCTCATTTGTCTACTTCTCTCCTCCTTTCTGCTGTCCAGAAGCAGAGGAATACAGGCTGACAATCTGCTTTCTTACAAAATAAAGCGTTTCTTGGTGCTGTAAGATATCATGAAAACTAGTGAAGAATCCACAGGAAAACTACATACCTTGCTTAGAAAGACACACATAGATGTAAAACGTATTTTAAAAACAAATAATTAGAGAACGGAGCCCGCGTTTCCACAGAGCTGGAACTCCCAGCTCGGGGTCTCTTCCCTCCGCTGTCATGGAACTGCCCCGGAGCCCGAGGGGAGGGCAGCCTCACTGAGGCTGCCGGCTCTGGAGGGGCCCCGGGGGGCGAAGCCGCGACAGTCGTGGGGACAGCAGGCTGGAGCCCAGAGAAGAAGAAGTCAGTATCTACTGCTGCTGGACGTGGCCACGTGCCCAGTTCTGGACAATGAGAGAACCATTATATATTCCTCATACTGAAAAATGCTTTAACTGCCCAGAAAAATATGAGTGAAAAAGGAAACTAAGAATCACATCGTCTGCCATCTGCAAACTGGAAACCCAGGAAAGCGAGTGGTTATAATTCCAGTCCCTGTCCAAAGGCCTGAGAACCAGTATAACTGACGGTGTAAAGCCCAGTCCAAGGGCAGGAGGAGACTGACATCCCAACTCAAGCAGGCAGGTGGCAAGAAAAATCAAGGCGCTGCTTAAAGGAGCTCCAGAGACCGGCGCGAGCAGCGACTAACAGCGCGGACCCCAGAGACGGGCATGAGATGCTAAGGCTGCTGCTGCCACCACCAAGAAGCCTGTGTGCGAGCACAGGTCACTATTCACACCCCCCTTCCGGGAAGCCTGTGCAGCCCGCCACTGCCAGGGTCCCGGGATCCAGGGACAACTTCCCCGGGAGAACGCACGGCGCGCCTCAGGCTGGTGCAACGTCACGCCGGACTCAGCCCTCGCAGGCCCGCCCCGCACTCCGTGCTCCTCCCTCCCCCCCGGCCTGAGTGCGCCAGAGCCCCAGAAGCAGCTGCTCCTTTAACCCAGTCCTGTCTGAGCGAAGGACAGACGCCCTCCAGCGACCTACACACAAAGGCGGGGCCAAATCCAAAGCTGGGCCCCGGGAGCTGTGCGAACAAAGAAGAGAAAGGGAAATCTCTCCCAGCAGCCTCAGAAGCAGTGGATTAAAGCTCCACAATCAACTTGATGTACCCTGCATCTGTGGAATACATGAATAGACAGCAAATCATCCCAAATTGAGGAGGTGGACTTTGAGAGAAAGATTTATGATTTTTTTCCCCTTTTCCTCTTCTTGTGAGTGTGTATGTGTATGCTTCTGCATCAGATTTTGTCTGAATAGCTTTGCTTTCACCATGTGTACTAGGGTTCTACCTGTCCGCTTTTTTTATCCTTAAAAAACTTTTTTTTTCTTAATAATTATTTTTCATTTTAACAATTTTATTTTATTTTATCTTCCTTTATTTTATTTGATTTTATCCCCTTCCCTCCCTCCCTCCTTCTCTCTCTCTCTCTCTCTCTCTCTCTCTCTTTCTTCTTTTTCTCCCTTTTATTCTGAACCATGTGGATGAAAGGCTCTTGGTGCTGCAGCCAGGAGTCAATGCTGTGCCTCTGAGGTGGGAGAGCCAACTTCAGGACACTGGTCCACAAGAGACCTCCCAGCTCCACGTAATATCAAATGGCGAAAATCTCCCAGAGATCTCCATCTCAACAACAGCACCCAGCTTCACTCAACGACCAGCAAGCTACAGTGCTGGACATCCTATGCCAAACAACTAGCAAGACAGGAACACAACACCACCCATTAGCAGAGAGGCTGCCTAAAATCATAATAAGTCCACAGACACCCCAAAACACACCACCAGACGTGGACCTGCCCACCAGAAAAAAAAGATCCAGCCTCATTCAGCAGAACACAGGCACTACTCTCCTCCACCAGGAAGCCTACACAACCCACTGAACCAACTTTAGCCACTGGGGACAGACACCAAAAACAACGGGAACTACGAACCTACAGCCTACAAAAAGGAGACCCAAAAAACAGTAAGATAAGCAAAATGAGAAGACAGAAAAACACAAAGCAGATGAAGGAGCAAGATAAAAACCCACCAGACGTAACAAATGAAGAGAAAATAGGCAGTATCTGAAAAAGAATTCAGAATAATGATAGTAAAGATGATCCAAAATCTTGGAAATAGAATAGAGAAAATGCAAGAAACATTTAACAAGGACCTAGAAGAACTAAAGATGAAACAAGCAATGATGAACAACACAATAAATGAAATGAAAAATCCTCTAGATGGGATCAATAGCAGAATAACTGAGGCAGAAGAACGGATAAGTGACCTGGAAGATAAAAGAGTGGAAATAACTACTGCAGAGCAGAATAAAGAGAAAAGAATGAAAAGAACTGAGGACAGTCTCAGAGACATCAGGGACAACATTAAACGCACCAACATTCGAATTATAGGGGTTCCAGAAGAAAAAGAGAAAAAGAAAGGGACTGAGAAAATATTTGAAGAGATTATAGTTGAAAACTTCCCTAATATGGGAAAGGAAATAGTTAATTAAGTCCAGGAAGCACAGAGAGTCGCATACAGGATAAATCCAAGGAGAAACACGCCAAGACACATATTAATCAAACTGTCAAAAATTAAATAAAAAGAAAACATATTAAAAGCAGCAAGGGAAAAACAACAAATAGCACACAAGGGAATCCCGATAAGGTTAACAACTGATCTTTCAGCAGAAACTCTGCTGAAAGCCAGAAGGGACTGGCAGGACATATTTAAAGTGATGAAGGACAGAAACCTACAACCAAGATTAGTCTACCAAGCAAGGATCTCATTCAGATTTGATGGAGAAATTAAAATCTTTACAGACAAGCAAAAGCTGAGAGAGTTCAGCACCACCAAACCAGCTTTACAACAAATGCTAAAGGAACTTCTCTAGGCAAGAAACACAAGAGAAGGAAAAGACCTACAATAACAAACCCAAAACAATTAAGAAAATGGGAATAGGAACATACATATCAATAATTACCTTAAATGTAAATGGATTAAATGTGCCCACAAAAAGACACAGACTGGCTGAATGGATACAAAAACAAGACCCATATATATGCTGTCTACAAGAGACCCACTTCAGACCTAGAGACACATACAGACTGAAAGTAAGGGGATGGAAAAAGATATTCCATGCAAATGGAAATCAAAAGAAAGCTGGAGTAGCAATTCTCATATCAGACAAAATAGACTTTAAAATAAAGACTATCAGAAGAGACAAAGGAGGACACTACATAATGATCCAGGGATCGATCCAAGAAGAAGATATAACAATTTTAAGTATCTATGCACCCAACATAAGAGCACCTCAATACATAAGGCAAATACTAACAGCCATAAAAGGGGAAATCGACAGTAACACATTCATAGTAGGGGACTTTAACACCCCACTTTCACCAATGGACAGATCATCCAAAATGAAAATAAATAAGGAAACATAAGCTTTAAATGATACATTAAACAAGATGGACTTAATTGATATTTATAGGACATTCCATCCAAAAACAACAGAACACACGTTTTTCTCAAGGGCTCTTGGAACATTCTTCAGGATAGATCATATCTTGGGTCACAAATCAAGCCTTGGTAAATTTAATAAAACTGAAATTGTATCAAGTATCTTCTCCAACCACAACACTATGAGACTAGATATCAATTACAGGAAAAGATCTGTAAAAAATACAAACACATGGAGGCTAAACAATACACTACTTAATAACGAAGTGATCACTGAAGAAATCAAAGAGGAAATCAAAACATACCTAGAAACAAATGACAATGGAGACAGGACAACCCAAAACCTATGGGATGCAGCAAAAGCAGTTCTAAGAGGGAAGTTTATAGCTATACAGGCCTACTTTAAGAAACAGAAAACATCTCGAATAAACAACCTAACCTTGCACCTAAAGCAATTAGAGAAAGAAGAACAAAAAAACCCTAAAGTTAGCAGAAGGAAAGAAATCATAAAGATCAGATCAGAAATAAATGACAAACAAACGAAGGAAACGATAGCAAAGATCAATAAAACTAAAAGCTGGTTCTTTGAGAAAATAAACAAAATTGATAAACCACTAGACAGACTCATCAAGAAAAAAAGGGAGAAGACTCAAATCAATAGAATTAGAAAAGGAGAAGTAACAACTGACACTGCAGAAATACAAAAGATCATGAGAGATTACTACAAGCAACTCTATGCCAATAAAATGGACAACCTGGAAGAAATGGACAAATTCTTAGAAATGCACAAACTGCCAAGACTGAATCAGGAAGAAATAGAAAATATGAACAGACCAATCACAAGCACTGAAATTGAAACTGTGATTTAAAATCTTCCAACAAGCTTCCCTAGTGGCGCAGTG